AGAGAGAGAGAGAGAATACTTTCAACAGTAAAGATCTTTTTTTTTTTTAATCAAGCAAAAAATGCTGTAAGCAGCCAAAATATAAGCCACAAAGGCCACACCCAAAGGTCTGGGTTCTGTGTTCAACCAGACATACCTTCTTTTACCCACATCTCAATTCCAACAAACTCTGTTATCTAATCTTCCAGCAGCATTAGGAATGGAGATGCAGGGAGAGCAGTGCAAAGAGATAAAAATAAAAAGCAGACACAGACATTCACAGAGCAATCCAGCTGTAATGATGGCAGAAATGTCCCTGAGCCAACTCGACAGATTTCTGAAAGTACGATGATGATCCACGATAACCACTCTGAACTGAAGTGTTCCGAACACAGACTGGTTGGTTGAGGAAGTGAGAGAAGTTCCTAATGCCATACAGGGGGGGGGGAAAAAAATGAGCACAAATGTTTATCATAAAAAAGCTAGAGAGCTTCAAGAGAACATCCCCAGTTATCCAGAGCAAGTCAAGCCTGTGGGCTCCACAGAGCCGGGGGTTTTACTATGTTAATAGGATTTTATGGTCGGCTGCATCGACCAATACAAATCTGGAGAACAATCTGGAAGGAAATGATTAATGACTGCTTCTTTCGGAGGAAGTTTAAAAATAAGTAACCATGGGCATGTCAGAATCGGCACTAGCACAGCAATTGCTACTAAATGCAGCCAGGGTGTGGGTGTTATTTTGGCTTTAGTTCATATTACGAGCAGGATTTAGGTGCTTGGTAGGCAGCTGGGCCCTGTTAGCTATTAGGGTGAAGTCAGTCGGTCCCATTCCATCACACAGAATACACTGTGAACCAAATACATATTTACTCTCTGCGCTTCGTACTTGCCTCTGGTGCTTCTGACTTCGAAAGCCAGGCTAGAAAGACAAGCCAGAAGCTGATTATGTTTATCTGTGGAACAGGATTATGCACACGGCCAGCACCCCGTTGTTTTCGTTTTCAGCATGGTTATCACAAAACAAAAAACAAAAAGATAACCTTTGCGTCTGAAGCCTGATTGTTTGAAAACAGCCCTGAATATTCCCTCCGCTTTCAATAATGCAATACCGGCCCTCACGCCGCTTATCTAGAAGATACTTATTTGCTGATAGAGACTCGCTACTGTTTCTATACGAGAGCTTGACAGAGTCTATCTGAGGGAGCTGTTTCCTGAGTTAGTCTAGAAGCTTCCTCCGGCTTGAACATTTACCAAAAATCCAAGAAAACATTAAAAAAAAAAAAAAAAATTTTCCCCACACACCCAAAGGGGTAGGAGGAGAAAGATATAATCACAATCTTGGTTAATGGCCCCTTAGCACTCTGATCCCTCTAAGGTTCTATTTGTCTTTTGTTCGTTCCTTTTTCTTTTAAATAACCTTACTGGCTGCTTTCTCCTGATTACCAGAGCAATATATGGTCATTGTCACGGTTCAAACAGCTGGAAGAGGTAGGAAGTACAATTAATAATCCCGCTCTCTCCCACCCTCTCACATCCCTCGCGAGGAAAGCAGTGTTAACAGGTGCAGATGCTCTCTTGCTTCTTCCTAGGCCTGCGCAAACATATCCAACAGGAAGGCTGGGGGTGCTTTGTTTTGTTTTTGGGGGGAGGGGTAATTTGTACACCTTGCTTTTTAGTCTTAAAAATCTGTTATGGATACTTGCCAAACATACATACACACATCACATCCATTTTAACGGCTGCAAAATATTCCATAAGATGAGTAATTTATTCATATAATCTCCCCATATTCCCCAACTCATGGACATTTAGGATGTATTCTTTTTATTTTTTAAAAAAATGTTTTTATTGATTTCAGAGAGAGGAAGTAAAGAGAAGGGGGGTGGATAGAAACATCAATGATGAGAGAGAATCCATTGATCAGCTGCTTCCTGCATGCCCCACACCGGGCATCTAGTCTCCACCTCAAGCACATGCCCTGACCTGGAATTGAATCGAGATCTCCTGGTTCATGGGTCAATGCTCACCTCCTGAGCCACACCGGCTGGGCTAGATGTATTCTTATATACACCGCATGTCCTTTAATTTCAGTAACACAGGTCCCTGAAAGTGTAGTTTCTGGGTTGAATGAAACATTTTCAAACGTTTAAAATGTTAGCCTGAAAGAAAATTAACTTTAGACTTCCAGAATTTCTGCTTCCTTTTTCAATGTATCTAATTTTGGCATAACCTTTCACAATGTTTTGCATATTTTACTTTGTAAATGTATATGCATTATGTCAACAGCACCCCTATCGTTTATGCCCATGTAGTGATAAGTAAATAAATGCTTAAGTTATGGCTTATGATGATCAGCATTCAGTCACGGTGCAAACGCTTAGTGCTTGGTTTATGAAAGTGGGAACTCCACCCCCACCTGGCAGCTCACCCTGTGACTCCCTCCACTGAGTGACCATACAGAGATCAAGATCTAGATGTCAATAGTCAACTTTAAAAAGTGTGTGTGGCCAAAACCGGTTTGGTTCAGTGGATAGAGCATCGGCCTGTGGACTGAAAGGTCCCGGGTTCGATTCTGGTCAAGGGCATGTACATTGGTTGCGGGCACATCCCCAGTGGGGGGGGGGGGCGGGGTGCAAGAGGCAGCTGGTCGATGATTCTCTCTCATCGATGTTCTAACTCTCTATCCCTCTCCCTTCCTCTCTGTAAAAAATCATTAAAAAAAAATTTTTTTTTTAAGTGTTTGTGAGGGGGTTGGGGAGAGCGAGTAAACAGCAACCTATGCCAAAGTGATAGCCATTAGGGTTTCTAACACACACAAATTATTTGTAGTATAGCAAGTAATTCTGCTGGCTCTATACCAGAGACGGTATTTAATAATAATAAATAATAATAATAATAAACCTATAACCAATATGTGGCTATGATTCCATGAACCTTTCTAAAACATATTCTTCAAACATTTTTTTTTCCAACAGAATGACTGGTTGAATCCCACCTCTGCAGTGTTTTCTCTCCCTCAGAACCAGACTCTAATTGCAATTAATCTCCATCCATACCCGGCTCCACCTGTCAGCGAAGGTTCTGCTTTGGAAGGAGATCTGAAGACTTCAATTAAAACCAGTCAGCTAACAAGAAAATAATCTAAGCTAAAGGAAGGTGGCAGGTGCAGAAATGAGTTGTTTACAAAGTGTCAGTTCTGAACAATAAAGAACCGCACATCAGAACAAAAAACAAAACAAAACAAAAAATGCCGAAGGAGTGGGTTTCCTTGGCGTCTCTGAAAATAAAACGGCGTTTTCTACCGAGGCTGCCCACAAACATGGAAACTCGGTTTAGCAAGCTTGTACAGGGGGTTTCCTGTCGTCAAATGACAGAGACCCGTAAAAGGAATCACTTTGCATCTTTACGTTTCAGTGCAAGGGCGGAACTGAAGTGTGCCAACAGCTCTTTCCCTCCTGGAAGTCAGCTACTCTCAGCCTTGCCGGGCACATGGAGCATAAGCCAAAGGGCAGCTGGGGGCTTCTGCCTAGCCACCCCGGCGAGGCCCCTGCACCCGCAAACGCTTTTCCACGCTGAGGTTTTACGTTTCCTCAGGTCCTAGGTTTGGCAAAGGTCGCCTCAGGAGAAATAGCTCGTTGACAGCTTTTACCCAGAAACAACCCAGAATGGAAAGAGTGCTACAGAGACCGAAAGGACTTGCCAAATATTTGATTAGGAGGCATTTATACCAAGATAACAAGGTAATGGAGATCTAAAACCAATTACATGGAGAGAAACTGGAGGGGGGGGGGGGCGACTCCTGCTTGCCAAAAGTCTGACGGCCCCAAGCAGGCCATCTGCTGAATGTGTCAGGAATGCCCCCGCGATGCCAACAGGCTTCATTCCGAGCAGTTTCCTCCCGGACCGATAGGTCTCAGGCCTCTTTTTGGGAGGGTCAGTACCGGAAAGCAAGTGGCTTTCGCCAGGGAAAGTGTGGGCTGAGCGGGCGCTATGCCCATGAGCAAAAAGCTCTGAGCGCTGGGAGGGTGCTGAGTGCCAGGCCTGGGCTCCTCCAAGGGCCGCTCAGGCCCTGCGTCTGCAGGTGAACACGCCGCCGCGGGCACCGCAGAACAGGCAGCGGGCACCCTGAGCGAGGGTCAGCAAAGCGGGCCCGGGACCCCGGAGTCTGAGGCTGGGGGAGGGAGGCGGGGACCCTCCTTAACCCGCACCCTGGGCCACGGGGTCCCAGGAGCCGCCTGGAGTGTGTGTGTGTGTGTGTGTGTGTGTGTGTGTGTGTGTGTGTACCAGGCTAGGTGGCCAGGGGAGTGTGTGTGTGTGTGTGTGTGTGTGTGTGTGTGTGTGTGTACCAGGCTAGGTGGCCAGGGGTGTGTGTGTGTGTATGTGTGTGTGTGTGTACCAGGCTAGGTGGCCAGGGGTGTGTGTGTGTGTGTGTGTGTGTGTACCAGGTTAGGTGGCCAGGGTGTGTGTGTGTGTGTGTGTGTGTGTGTGTGTGTGTGTGTACCAGGCTAGGTGGCCAGGGGAGTGTGTGTGTGTGTGTGTGTGTGTGTGTACCAGGCTAGGTGGCCAGGGGTGTGTGTGTGTGTGTGTGTGTGTACCAGGTTAGATGGCCAGGGGTGTGTGTGTGTGTGTGTGTGTGTGTACCAGGTTAGATGGCCAGGGGTGTGTGTGTGTGTGTGTACTAGGCCTGGTGGCCAGGTGTGTGTGTGTGTGTGTGTGTGTGTGTGTACCAGGCTAGGTGGCCAGGGGTGTGTGTGTGTGTGTGTGTGTGTGTGTCTGCAGGAACCTGGCCTGAAGTTTGTCAGAGGCTGGAGGTTAAGGGGGGGTGGAGACACCCTGAGAAAGAAACGAAGGGGGGACTGAGGGGGATGAAGCTGGAAGCCAGCAGCCCGTGCTTTGCAGGGCGGAAGCCTCTGGAAGCCAGGGGGGGGGGGGCAGGAGGTGGTGGGCGCTGCAGGGAGAGAAAGCCCAGCCTCGGGCGCTGGCAGCGCCGCAGGGAGGGCCCGGGGCCAGGGCGTTACCTGCCAGGAGCCAGCGGATCTCCTCGGGGAGCGCGGCGGCCTGCATGGCCGGCGGCGGAGGCTGGCGGGGCGCGGGCGCGGGCGCGGGGCGCGGGCGGCGGCACCTGCTCCCGGGCCTCCCGCCGCGGGCGGAGCGCAGGGCGGGGCCGCCCAGGAAGCGGCGCGCGCAGCGGGGGGGGGGGGGGGGCCGCGGGGACACCTGTGCGCCCGGCCGCCTCCCACCTGCGCCCCGGGGGGCCCAGGCTGTGTCCTTTAGGCCCCCCAACCCCACCCACACCCACAGCCCCCACCCCCACCCACCCCCACATCCCCACCCACCCCCACCCCCACCCACTCCCACACCCACACCCCCACCCCCACCCCCACATCCCCACCCACCCCCACATCCACCCCCACCCACCCCCACCCACTCCCACACCCACACCCACCCACACCCACACCCCCACTCCCACCCCACACCCACACCCACCCCCACCCCCACCCACTCCCACACCCACCCACACCCACACCCCCACCCCCACCCCCACCCCCACATCCCCACCCACCCCCACATCCACCCCCACCCACCCCCATCCACTCCCACCCCCACATCCACCCCCACACCCACACCCACTCCCACACCCACCCACACCCACACCCCCACCCCCACCCCCACATCCCCACCCACCCCCACATCCACCCCCACCCACCCCCATCCACTCCCACCCCCACATCCACCCCCACACCCACACCCACACCCACACCCACCCCACACCCACCCCACCCCCACATCCACCCCCACACCCACCCCCACACCCACACCCACCCCACACCCATCCACTCCCACCCCCACATCCACCCCCACACCCACACCCACACCCACACCCACCCCACACCCACCCCACACCCACATCCACCCCCACACCCACCCCCACATCCCCACCCACTCCCACCCCCACATCCACCCCCACACCCACACCCACACCCACACCCACCCCACACCCACATCCACACCCACACCCACCCCACACCCACATCCACCCCCACCAACCCCCACATCCCCACCCACCCCCACACCCACCCACTCCCACACCCACCCACACCCACACCCCCACCCCCACCCCCACATCCCCACCCACCCCCACATCCACCCCCACCCACCCCCATCCACTCCCACCCCCACATCCACCCCCACCAACCCCAACCCCCACCCACACCCACCCCCAAACCCCCACCCCCACCCACCCCCACATCCACCCCCATCCACTCCCACCCCCACATCCACCCCCACCAACCCCTACCCCCACCCACACCCACACCCCCACCCCCGAGCCCACACCCAGCGGGGCGGCCCCCGTGCCCACACCCGGCGGGGCGGTGAACCGGGATGCTGGAAGGGAATGACTGTCCATTCCCAATGGATGATCCAAAGCACCCACCTTGGGGAGCACCAAAGCCGTGCACACAGGGCGCTGCCGTGCCCCGTCCTCCCTGAGGCTGGAGGGGGTGAGGCAGGAGGGGCTGCCCGGGGAGAAAGCGGAGGGAGGGCGAGGGGACCCCAGGAGCTGACCCAGGGAGGACAGAGGGTGTTGCCCCTCATTCACACGCAGGAGGGGTCAGGGTCCTGGGTGACGCCTGTCGTGCTGCGTGTTCCCAGCGTGGCTCTGATGGTTTCTGTGACTCCCGTGACTGCAGCATCTCCAGAGAAAGGCGTGTTGTCGTTATTAAGTGCAATAGACCAAGTGCCACAGGAAGTTTTAGTGCCGTGGGTGTTAAAAGGAGGGAGAAGACTGTAAGAGAAGGAGGGAGGTGCCACGTGTGTGTTTCATGCCTCACGTGCCATTTGAGATGGACTCTGAACACCCAGACTTTTTTTAAAAATATATTTTATTGATTTTTTACAGAGAGGAAGAGAGAGGGAGAGAGAGTTAGAAACATCGATGAGAGAGAAGTTAGAAACATCGATGAGAGAGAAACATCGACCAGCTGCCTCCTGCACACCCCGCACTGGGGATGTGCCCGCAACCAACGTACATGCCCTTGACTGGGATCGAACCCAGAACCCCTGAGTCCACAGGCCAACGCTCTATCCACTGAGCCAAACCGGTTTCGGCATGAACACCCAGACTGTGAAGAGGTAGAAGGGGCTTTCCAGGAGCAGGTAAAGATGGGAGAGCCTCCCGCTGGGGACAGTCCGCAGCCCTCTCTGGCTGGGTGGCGTACAGAAACGATGTGGTGAAGAAAAATGCGAAGGGACTTGAAAGGCAGAAATGAGGGATTTTAACTTGACTGAGTGACACCGGGGCCACTGACCGGCGTTGAGCTGGGGAGGGACCTAAGCTGGGCCCCTGTGTGGTGTGTGATCTCTCACACCTCACTCCACCTCTACCCTTTCCCTCTTTGTGAAAAATGGGCTTTCTGTCCTCAGACCCTGCCTACTGAGTAAGTGGCCGGGGTTGAGAATGGTCAGAGAGGACCCGGGGAAAAGGTGGGTAAATCCGTGTTTACAGCGGCCTCCGGGAAGACACGGGTAGAGGAAACCATGGATACGGGAACAGGAGCAGCATGGAGAGATTGCCCAGAAGGACTCGTGGTAACATGTCTGCCTCCCGGCAAGGTTTCCTCTCCAGAGACAGTCCCAGGATTTGGTGACTTGATCCTTTAAGGCAGGGGACGGGTGGGGAAGGGGGTGGGGAAGGGAGTGGGGGAAGACATTTGGTCTGGCCCTGCCAAGGCAACTGCAGGTGGGACTCAAAATTCAATAAATCGAAGAGCTTTTTTTTTTTTTTCCATAGCAACATACCTTTATATTGAATGAATTATAGTAAGTGAATGGTATTATCCAAATGGCCCCGACAGAAAAAAAAAAAAAAAAAGATTCCCCACCCCTGCTTGAAGGGATGCACAGGTCTATGCCTGCTTTCTGAAGAGAAACAGTACCTTGATTTCAGGATCGCATGACCCACTGGCAAGTTGCAGCAAACTGGGGTGAGGCTGACTGTGGAGGGAAAGGACCGGCAGGGGTCTCTGGGCACCTGGCTCCTTTCTGTCTGGAAAAGGGAACACGCCGCCTCCAGGCTTCGGAGTGAACACCAGGCTCCTGGTGGGACCTGCTCCTTCCACAGCACCGGAGCTGCTCTGAATCATTTTGAGTACTTCTGACATGTCAAAAAGCAAGGGAGGAGAGCCGAAACCGATTTGGCTCAGTGGATAGAGCATCGGCCTGTGGATCAAAAGGTCCCAGGTTCGATTCCGGTCAAGGGCATGTACCTTGGTTGCGGGCACATCCCCAGTAAGGGGTGTGCAGGAGGCAGCTGGTCGATGATTCTCTCTCATCGATGTTCTAACTATGTATCCCTCTCCCTTCCTCTCTGTAAAAAAAAAAAAAATATATATATATATATATATATATATTTAATTTTTAAAAAAAAAAAAAGCAAGGGAGGCTATATTGGAACTTTCTGTACGATGACTACAATTTTTCTCTAAATTTAAAACTGTTCTTTAAAAAAAAAAATGCAAAGGAAACCGAGTCCCTCCTGTGTGTGACCCTGGCACTTGACCTTGCTTCCCCTCTCGGCCATGGGAGGAAATTTGGCCTCCAGCCCCTCTCCGTGAGGCTATTTTTCAGATGCGACTATAGGCTACAAGTTAATGAGTTGTTTGGTAAGAAGCGATAAACCCAGGTCATTGCCCATCCTCTCAGGCCTCACTGCCCGTCAGAGCTTCCTTACACGGAGGAGCAGCTATGCATTCGCGCTGGGTTTGAGGGAGCCGGGGAGAGGGCGGTGCAGGGCTGGAGAGCGTGCCTGGGTGACTGGCAGATTCCAATATGGCGTTGTCATGTTGCATCAAGGCTCCTCACGGCAGACAGAAACCTGCCTCCACCCATGAGCGCGGCCCCTCCTTCATCATCGGAGGGCCCTGGTTCGGCAGCCAGCCTCACTCCTAATGACATTCTGTTAAATGGACAAATTCCTTTGAAGCCTTGTCCTCCTTTGAAATCCAATTTCGCAGGAAGCCAGATCTGATTGGGGGTAGCCATGGAAACTACACGGAGGAGTCTTGGAGGAGGTGGAGAGAGGCAGGGCAGAATGTGATAGTCAAGAGCCCTTTACCGCTCTGTCGGAAATATCAAAGGGATCTGGAGAGGTTGGCAGCCGACGCGTCCCTGCCCCGGTCCTGTTCTGTGTGGCTGGGCACCATGTGGCTGTCACGGAAGTAAGCAGCCAGCTGTCTCCACGCACAGGCCGGGGGATGGAGCGGCGAACACAAATCCCAGGTCTGCCTGCTTCCCTTCCCCTCCCCCCACGGCCCCAATTCCAGTGAGATCTCAGCAAGCATCCCCCCTCTCAGCTGTCTGGCCTTTAAAGACAAACAACAAAAGAATGACAAGGTTGAAATACAAGGCCCTCTCCGATAAGAGGTCCTCTGGAGCAGAGGCCACAAAATTAATCAGAAATTCCTTGTAATTAGATAAGATAAGGGTGTCTAAAGAGATGCAGAGCAGGCAGGAATGGAGTCTGGCAGCACGGCATGCAGAAAATATACTGCTGGATCCACCAGGGCCCCGCGCCTACTGTCAGCAGACACAGAAAGCAGGACCCACGCCAGCCTCTGGGCTGCTTAGAGTTGCCATCTCCATGTTCTCCTGCCAGGTGGGCACTCACTAAATACGCATCCATTGGGGTGTCCGGAGGGCTTAATCAGGAAGAAACAGAAGCAGCTGGCGTCCCCGGATGGCATGGGATAGAACAACTGCAAGCAAAGCAGGGACCGGCTGGCATTGCTCTGCCCTGGGCAAAAAAATGGGTTTAGAGAGGAGACTTCAGAGGACAGGCTTTGGGGCTTTCTTCGGAGCTGACTATTGATCCCTGGGTGCTGGGGCATGACACACAGCGGAGCTGACACCTGCCCCGTGGATCTGCGGCCGCTGCATCTCAGCCCCTCGGACCCAACCCCATCAGCCCGGTTTATTGACTCTTTTATTGACGCTGCTGAGGACCAGGGCTGCACGCTTCATTAAGGGCTCTGGAAGGAGAGATGATGCGTCCTGCCAATGCCAAG